CAGCTCACGGCTTGTTGCTACCTTATCGGACGGTAGATAATCGATGTCAGATGAGTCACCTTTGTGTGTCGTGATTTGTACGTGTAGGGAAAGAAGGGCGAGTCTTGGGATCAAGGGCTTGACTGTGTAGTCAAGTGAGTCACGATTCTGTGGCGTGATTTGTAAGTGTAAGAAAAAAGACAGATCTCGTGATCTAGCGAGTGTCGGTGACCTGTACAGTCCTGTGTGTGGCGAAAGGTTAGCTACAATCTCAGTCGAACAGCATTACCAGATTTCCGCACACAGATACCCAACCATGTGGTCTGTAGCCACCCGGTCACCCACATACTCGACCGTCCAGCTCACAGTCGCTCACTGGATCACGAGACTTGTCTTTTTTCCATACAAACCACGTCACATTAAGCTGGCTCATCGGACATCGATTGTCTGTACCGTCTAGTGAGCGTAGCACACACCCACGTACATGCAAACGGACCTATATATAGGGAAAACGGAACACAGTCAGCACACAGACTCGCGCGCGCGCAGGGAGCAGGAAGTTAACCGCTCCCCACAGGTTCACGGGCAATCATGGAATACGTGTAGCAGCCATACTGCAGAGAAAACACGTTCCCACGGTCCGGACTTTCAACAAGGAACTCCCCAGGCGATAAGTTCCTCTTTTGACTTACTCTCATTTTGCATTGTATTTATTTTTATACGTGTTGTGACCCACCACTGTCAGCCATACTAAAGACCTTTATTAGTGCATACACCTGATTTGTACTATGACCATCATCAGCAGTGCACTAATAGGTCATTCAATTTGCCGAATTTCGATGTTGCCAAGATTCGACAACAGCAGATGTTCGGAATATCCGTCTGGGTAGGATTACGGTCATCCAGAAGAGGTGTTTTCGCGAGCGGAACCCAAGTTTGGATCAAATCATATGCAGAAGACTGGGGTTACAAAGTTCATGGAATAAATTACGGTGTACTGCTTAGCTCTTCACACCGGATGATGCAACTTCTGGACTAACGAGGGCCAAATGAGACTCAGTCAGCTTCCGCAGAAAGAATTACATGAATGATTAAAGATGTCACTTACCTCCGGAACCAGGCGGTTAAGGATCATCTCCATATCGGTCCTGGAAAACGCATGGAACGATCATGAAAAAGAATAGGAGTGATCAAGTTACGACAGAGAACAAGTCGATGGATAATCCATTGTTAAACACCTACTTGACGGATGGATCCCAGCTCTGCAAAGGTGGAAAAATGGAGTAGTGGAAAAGACAGAAGGGCACTTACCTCATTCACAGTGATTGTAGCCGAAGTATGTTGAACTGAAAGTGTGGAACGGTGGAAAATTTAAGGTAGTCTCAACGCAGGCCAGCTGGAACAATAATCTGAATTGATATAAAGCTAATCACCTCACCACCCCACCCCACGCTGAAACGAACTAACAGTTTAGGCAGAAGGTTAATCGGGAAAAGACCGAAAAAGGCAGTAGAATGGCATTATTCTTGGGGTCTTCTAGTCCCATCTACCATTTGAGTGAAGGCGAACTATGATAAATTGTGAAAGGCGGCGCAAATGATGGGACATTAAAGTACCGGTCAATTGCAATGACAGATCAGGCTCCACCACATGTTGGTTGGTCAGAAATATAAGTTATTCTCTCTTTCGATGCACATACACTTCGGTATCCATCCTGAGAACACCAGTTTTCCAAGTTGTCCCTGCATGTGACACACGGTTATCGTGGAAGTACCTGGAGCACACATGTGATGTTGAAAGAGGATAGGCAGCAATGGGAAGTTTCGAAAGACACCAAGAAGGACAGAAAGACTGTAGGTTTTCACACACAACTCAACTATGCAGCCTTTCATGTGAAGACATGCATCCATCAAGTCCACCAAATATTTCGTGGGTTAGAGGTCGTAATCAAACGATTTTTGCAGTGAACAGAGATGCCGGAGCCCCGTAAAGTTGTCGAGTCGATCTCCAGGTCACGTCCACTTCCAGTTCAGTGCTCATGAAGCTGCACCTTTCTGAATAGCACTAATTCATTCTTCTGAGAAATGCAGATGTTTGTGGTAGGACCGGAAGCGCCACAGCAAAATCCAGGTGCATTAGTTCATCCCAAAATGGACTCCCACATCCTGATTAAGGCCACTTCACTATAGACGCGCGAAATGTGCCCTGATGCTTTCTGGAAGAACACCTCCGACTTAAAAGCCATCGAGGAGCACTCTTCCCTCCCAACTAAAACCAGGATGCAAAATCCTTGGTTCCCCTACATTAAGACACCAAGTATGTACATGACTACCTGGATTGTACACAGGTTTGCTTGTATCAGGAAGGTCAGATTCCTGAAACTAACCTCAGAACGCCCGAAACCTACTGCTCCACCAAAATCTCAACAGGAAAGCCGGCAAGCACTCAGGTCAGTCAATCATTCAATCAATTCAGCAAAAGCTGGTGAGTGCTCATGTACGCCACAGAAACACGACCGAATGTGATCAGCATTCAGGCATGTCACAGAGACACGGTCGATGTTGACGGGTGTTCGCTAACGCCTATCAGACAGCCTGGATCAACGTCAGAAAGTCCTCTTTAAATAGCATGAGGCCGTTGTAACTTTTGCTCTCGCACTCACACGCTCTCGCACCCGCTTCTTCGGAATTTAGCTGTTGTGTTCCCTTCTGTGAGTCTTTTTCCGATACTGGAGAGGGTCAACAACAGATACTACAGATTGACGAATCAGCAGATATAACAGCCTGCAACGTTGTTGAGGTTTTACTTAGCAGAATCTTCAATGAAGACGAAATAGGCTAACTCTACAAGATACTTCTGAACCACAGTTTGGTCAGAAACCGGTTCACAGATCCAAGTTCCTCTATCTGAGGTTCCAAGGGACGCAAAACGCACACAGAGGCTAGTGATGGCACTCGAAATTCTATCTCAAGCAGAGCGTGTATAGACATGCTCGTCAAACAATAGAACAATGACATCCGCATGATCCAAGTCTCGCAGTTTATCTCTCAAAGTAATTGCGATACCATGAATCTTGATCTCTGGAAGTGTACATTCTGCGATGATACAGATGACAAAATCGAATAGAAAGGGGACAAGATAGCCTCACCGAACTCCACTCGTTGTAGGAAAACTTCTGCATAGTTCGCTGTACACACTTTCACGACAACAAGTGTGAGAATCAAGGGCACGCATTAAATTTGTAAAAAAAACTCCAGATATATCCTTTTTCATAAGGGAAACTACTCACAAGGTTGCTGAAAACTCTTCGACAACCCACGACCGGTTTCGCCCTTCTTGGGGCTCTTGAGGTAGGCGCAGCCTTCGAATGTCCGTCAACCTTAGGTTCTACTTGAACCTAAATTGCACCGTTTTCGAGAAATACACTCATTTGTAAACCAATTTGGTCTTCACAAGAGACTCAACTGAACCTCTCGTTTATGATATTGTACAACTGTGTACAGCACATTCAGTTGTAGAATACCATAAACGAGAGATTCAGTGGAGTCTCTCGTGAAAACCAAATTGATTTGCAAATGAGTGCATTTCTCGAGAACTTGATGTTATTTCTGCAACATGACCAACTGACACCAGAAAACTTGCAAATGATATCCGCAAACATCACGACGCAAAGAAGAAAACAAATTATATTTGACCAGCATGCGAATCTTCTAAAAAATAAAATCAGATTAAATGAGACAATTGTAACAAGTGGACTGGAAGCTTCATAAAATACTGAAACTATCGAAACAGAGAACACATGCTG